TACTGCCCAGCTCAGTCTTTACTTAAGACTGAGCTGCCATCACAGAGGTGTGTGCTGTCTGAATGCTTCTTGTTTTGTATGTTTTCTCTTCTTATTCTTTATTAATGTTACAATGTAAAAAATGAAAAAAGAAATGTTTTAAACTGACCTGGTCTTAGAGGTTGATAATGCTCTGGTCAGGGATAAAATAGATATACAAGGTCAACAGAAAAAAAAGAAAACAGATTTAGTGATTGGCTTCTGATGTTGGTATAATTAGTTACGCATTAAAAGCATTGTTTAAAGTCTACAAAGTTATTCAGTAATCTTTGAAATATCACAGAAGTTGTAACAACTCAATCTTCGTCACTTGTTGCTCTAGACAACAGCCTATGTTAATAATTACAAAACACAAAAACAAAAATATATATTTTTAAAAAGCATTGTTTCTTACGATATGTCTCGAATGCTGAGAAAGACAAAAAAAAAGAAGTAAGAAAATAGGTGAAAACATGTTAGCAAACATAATTTACAAATTTTTTGGTTGTTGAGCTTCATACATGAGCAGTTAAAAACAATTTAAACATTGTGCAGAATAATATTCATATTCACTTGGTGCTTTGGACAACGGACTATATGTTAATAACTACAAAAACAAAAACCCATAACAGCTCCTGTACAAACCACATTTCACATTAAAGCTGAAATGTAGTTAAACAGCAGCTGTGTCACAGAAATGTGCTGGTTTATTTACTGTTTGTTGTCATTTACTACATTTATACAACACAGAGACACAGCTTCTAACCTACCAGGTGGGCGTGCACGGCCATCTGTGAGACAGGAGACAAGAATAAGATTAAATATAAGTGGCAAAATGTATCAACTGGACTTCTTATCATGATTCAAATCAAGGGGTTCAAAAGGTACTTGGAATAATATCACAACATTAAATTTTGTACACACAAAACACTGTAAATTCAAATGTTCAAAGTACTTAAATTAAGTCATGTAAACACTTGTTTTTTTAAACAGTTCTACTAACTCAAATAGCTTAAGAGCTCCAAACTTCAAAGGGGTTCAAACAGGGTATGCCCAACACATTCTACAACAAACTTTCAACCATCTTATTCAACCAAAGATTTTATTAAAATAGAAGGCTCCCAAAACAGGTCAGTCAACAAATATCTTTATAGAAATTTTTAAAATTCACAATGGAAAGAGATATAACATGAACCTTAAGGCGAGATTTTTGTATTCTAGCATTCATCCATTTTGTTTTAATTTTTTGCTTTTCTATTTCTCTTCTCCCTGCTTTCAGCTCAATCCTAAACATCCTTTCTCCACTAAGCCCACTGGCTCTACTCTGCACACATTCTAACCATCTCACCCTTGCCTCTTTATTTTATTGTCACTTGGGTTCAGTGGCCTCTGAACTGATTTTATAACTAAATAATACATAGCTTTCAAACATAACTCTTGCACACCAATAGTTGCTGGCTGACACTGGCAACAATATTATCATGAGTTGCAGAATAGAACCAAGATACACACCCTAGCCCGCTGCCTCTCACCAGGGGCAACTCCAGACTGAGACAGAGTCTGGCTCCTCTCCAAGAGACTGGTTCCAGAGCCCAAGCTGTGCGTTGAGATTAGCCTGACTATATCTAGCTGGTACCGCTTAACCTCACGGACTAACTCAGGCTCCTTTCCCACCAG